AAACCCCAAAACCCCAAAACCCCATAAGTAAGAATAAATTTGTCTCAGATTGTCTGCATATTTAATAGCGATATATTATATTTTTGGATATACTAAAATAATGATAGATCAATCAGCTGTTGGTTCGAGCTCCAAAGAATAGCAAAAATTTGACAAAACCAATATTTCACAGTAAAAAACTATGGAAGAAAGTAAGATTAATGCTAGAGATAATAATGGAAATCATTCTAATGATACGATTGACTTATCTAAACAATCAATTGAAAACAAAAATGATTTTGGCATGAGTAACAATGTCTCAGCGTCATAAAATCAAAAGAGAAACCAGATTGAGATCACTGATAATAAAGATAGTCAAAATAAAACTGAGTCAGATTTTTTAACTGGTCTAAACAAAGATCTTTCATAAATGACTGCTTTAAGAAGATAGTAATCTGCGTAAGAATTATAAATCTGCCTAAATTGCCATTAGTGGATCCATGGATGTAATTGGTTTAAGAGGACTGAAAACAAATAAAGAATTTGAAAGCAACCTCAATGATGAAGAAAATGAGGAAGAGGAGAAAAACTTAATGAATGAATCAAGACATAAATCAATGAGAGTAAAGCCCTCCACTCCTAACATGTCTCAAGGCCTTGGTGGATCAAGAAAACTCTTGGCAAATGATTCGGCAATGAACCAACTTGAGGGAGAATTTGCAGTAATAAAAGGATATGGCAAAGATGATTAGTCACAAAATTGGTCTGTGAACAATCCTCATAAGCCCAATTAATAGGATCACTATGTTTACACACTAAATGTAATTCACCTCTGATTTTATTTTTAAAGGGAATGGATTCCCAGGGTAGGATTGAGGTCAACAGAAGATTCAAAGAGTTTCATCTATTGAGATAAGTATTCACTCAAAGATTTCCAGGTTTATATGTCCCACCGATTCCAGCTAAAAAAGCAATGGTAAATTTACTTAATGATTATGATTAAATTAGAAAAACACTGATAGAGAGGTAGTTGAGGAGAGAGCATAGATTCTTAATCTCTTCATTAAGCAGGTCGTGAGATGTCCTTATCTATTCAGGTCCGAGGAACTATCAATCTTTATTAGGCCAGAATTAGAAATGAAAAAAGCTTTGACTCTCCTTCCAAGATTGAATTTCTAAGAAAATTTAGAAAGAACACAGAATTTCTATTCATTTACAGGAGAAATCAGTGACTAATAGATTTAGAGAGCTAACAACAAAATTAATTTATTCATTGGATCTGCTAGAAGAATGCATGCATTCTTAGATGTAATTGTCTTTTTATTTGACATAATCCAATTAGAAATTCAAAGAAATGGTTCACAGACTAGAAATAGGCTATGACGCTTAATGGACTAATCACAGTAAGATTGGAATTTAGTTATAAAAATTTAGAACAACTTAACGATTTGATGGGGTAATATGAAGACAATAATCTGAAGCAATATACCGAAACAAGATATGAAAACTTTTTATTGTTCAGACATCCGTAAAAAACAGAAGCAAAAGATATCCTTGAGAGTCTTGTAATTAATTTAGTTGTAATAAATTTGAATAATATAGCCAAATGAGATAGTGAATCCATTTAAAGTAATGAAACTCTGGATAAAATGGGAATAACTAGACATTATGGCTCTTATTGATGCAGTTGATGCGAAATCAACGCTAGAGAGAGAAAGAATCAGATATCACTCAAAGAAAACAGAGGACTCTAGAGATTTGGAAAAGCTTAGGCGAGGTAAAAAAACTTTGAAAACAATGTTCTTAACAAAGAAAGGACAGGTTGACAAGATAACCACTCTAAATCAAAAGGTAAATGAGGCTGATAAGTAAATAGAGTGCTTTGATCTCTATTATAAAATAATAGTCCTACAGCAATTACACTCAGCTATACCATTCTTCAAGAGGGATAAGATTTAAATTTATAATGATTTGCTAGAGACATACTCACTTCAATAGATCAAAAATTGTTAGTAGATAAGTGCTTGCTACCAGAAATTGATGGCTGCTAACAAACAAGCTTTTGAATTTGAAGATGAAGAAAGAGTTATCAAAATTACAAATGCTGCCGAATGAATAAGAATTCAATATATGCCGAATTTATACTAAACAAAATATTCAAATATTAATTTCAATAACAACTTAACCTTCATCAATATTTTAACAATGGGGTTTTGGGGTTTTGGGGTTTTGGGG